AAAAAAAAAAAAAAAAAAAAAAAAAAAAGTGGGGATAATAACTATTACCCTACGTACTTCAGAAAGGGTTTCTGAAATGCTTATATGAGATACTGTAAGATAAATCCCCTTTGCAGGCTGTCACATACACCACACAAAAAAAATATTGGACCATATGCTCTCTTAAGGCCTTTCCAAGTCTGGTTTCATATTTTGACTTTTATCGTTGTACATCTCAGAAGCCACATATATACTATGCCAAAGGAGCAAAATGAAATGGCCTTATTCTTAACAGCTTAGTACTACAACTACTAGCTGACATTTACACAGCATTATAATGCTTATAATATTACATGGCATTATTACGATGTGTTGCTGACTAATTTTCACAGCAACAGAAACTGGTGATCTCAATTGATATACAACAAGTGAAGAAGCTATACTGTGGCTTGTGAAAAAGTCTGACTAGTGATATCATCTTATATTTGTAAGATTATAGTGCCTGGAGATGTTTTCCACAAATATCTTATTTGATGCTTATAAGCAACCTTGTAAGATAGGTAGGGCAAATATTATTTCCTCTACTTTAGACAGGAGGAAATTTAAACTGAGAAGGGTGGCTGGGTGTGTTGGCTCATGCCTGTAATCTCAGTACCTTGGGAGGTTGAGGCAAGAAGATTGCTGTAGCCCAGGAGTTCAGGACCAGCCTGGGCAACATAGCAAGACCCCCATCTCTTAGAAAAACAGGAAAAAAACTGAGAGGGGTTTAGTACCTTGCCCAAGATTACGAGGGTAACAGCAGTCAAAACTAGATTCCAAACCTATCTTCTGACTCCTAATCCAGGATTTGCCCATCACCATACTAGCTCTGCAACTAAAATAAACAAATGCTGACAAACTGAACCAACATCATTTCTTATAAGGTGCTTATCAATACAAAAATTCAAGCTATTGTACTCTGAAGTATCTTTTAACACCAAATCCCTGACACTCTAATGGAAAGTAATTTCTTTATTTTTTAATTTTTTTTATTTATTTATTTTTTTAGGGCCAACAGCCTTCCGAGCAGAGAACCTCAGGGGCTGACAGCATTTGGGGCTGAAGGCCAGAAAGCAACTTCTTGAATTGGTTGTGTGTCAAATACACATTAGGGAAAAAATTATTGGTAGCAAGAGACTGCCCTTAGTAACTGCCCTTACCATTATATTTAAGTTAAACATTTCAGTAAGGACCCATTTGCTAAGCAAAGAATCTGAACCTCAGGCTAAACTGCTGGACTACAAACTGCTGCTCATTTCTGGGCTAACGAGTGTCTTGTAGCCCAGGATATAAGAAAAACATAAAAAGCAAGAAAAAAGAAATGTCTACTATTAAGACGGTAGAATAAATGATATGAATAATATCTGCATGTCTTGAGGCCTTTCCTAAGAATCATCGGCCTGGTGCAGTGGCTCACTCCTGTAATCCCAGCACTTTGGGAGGCCAAGGCAGGCAGATCATGAGGTCAGGAGATTGAGACCATACTGGCTAACATGATGAAACCCCGTCTCTAATTAAAAATAC